TATGATAGCACATCTAGCCCAAAGTTTTCACATAAAGGGTCATGGATTGATAACTTTATAGCTGAATGCTAGTACTTACTTGAGAGCTATGCCTAATGTGTGTTTGTGTATGTGTGTGTATTCATGAACACACACAATTGAAATAAAAAGGCAAGAATCAGAAGAAAAATTAAGAATATGTTAAACTTCAAGCTATATTGTATTGTGTAGAATAAAATTGAAAGAATAATAAATATAAACAAAAACAGGGTTTTAGCTAAATGTATTCGAGTACAGCTGTATAAGGGATCCAAGTAGCCATAAAAATGAGTGCATTCCAGAGTATTTGGTGACATGGAAAATGTTCACAGTGCATTATTAATGGAAAAGCAGGTCACAAACACTTTAAATAGAATGCAACTTTTATAAAACAATATACATACATGTATAGAAATTAATGTGAGCAAATATACAATAACAGATTAATGGTTATTTCTGGATGATGGGTTTTTCGATGGTTTTTATTTTCAACGCTTTGGTTTTTCCTTAGTTTCTTTTTCTACCATAAAATTTTATTGCTCTTATTTTTTTTTTTCAAGTATCTGTCCAGATTTTTTTCTTTCATCTTCCCTTAGCCTTTCTTAACAAACAAAACAAAAGCTTAAAAAAATATAACTGAGCCTCAGATGCTGAATAATTGTTTGCCCTGCCCTGGCTGTGTCTATGAAAAGCTGGTGCAGTGTTTGTTTGCTCTGGTGGGTTAGATTTCATTTCATGAAAAAGAGAATTACACAGAACAACACAAAGAAATGTTAGCATTTATGGGCTGTGCTTTGTCTACAAAGATGATGTTATTGACTCCTTGACACTAGGAAACTTCAGTATTTCTTCATGGCTGCAATTATACAATTTGGGAAATGAACCAGACACCATAGCTTCATCTAAATGATACCTGTAGACATAAAGTGCCGTGGCTGCCATTTTTCTCCCAGCTTCTATTGCACACAGCAAAGCAATAATGTACAGCCTAAACTCCCATTCTCTTCAAATTGTATGTTCTTTAAATAAACTGTATTTTAAATTAGGATCGTAAATATTACTCTTCCTCAACACATGATATGTGGCATCATCTTTGTGTTATAATGCAATATTTTAATAAGCTTATACAATATTATTTTATTGAAGTGCTGCAAAACACGAAACATTTTCACAGGGAGAACAAGCCATCAATCTAGACTTTTTGTGAATTTATATCCTTGAACTTTGAAGGCCAATCTAAATATTGATCTAAACTGCCCATACCAATCTCTAGGTCCCCAGGCCACATAACTCCATATGCAGCATAATTCCTTCTACAATGGAGCTTATAGTCAAGGTCATAAAGTATTTTGTTAATGTATCAGCAAATATCTATTAAATCTCTTTAACATACATAATCTTTCCCTTATTTTTTAAGTCCCAAACATAGGTCTGGCCCTGTCCTTGGAGAGCTTATATACTACTTGGGAAGAACAAATATTCATATATGGGGAGTTAAATCACAATACAAAAATTCAAAATAATATGTGAAGAGAGGTTACAGAGATGCACGTGATTGAATGCCAAATATCTGCGAGTACTTTTAACTCAGAGTATTGTTGATTCCTGGGATTTGGACATTCATAATGCAAGACTATGAAGGAGGCAAGGCTGAGAAGGAGGCAGAGCTTCAAACGTGCCCTGAAGAAGTTACAAGATATGAGCAGAGAGGAAGATGCACATTCCAGGTGGGAAGAATAGTATGAGTTGAGATTCAGAGGAGTTAAAAACAAAGATAATATAATTGCTAAGATTTCCTGAGGGTTTACTGTGTGCCTGGCACTGCTGACTCCTATAGTCTTCACAAAAACTCTATGAGATTAGTGCCACTATGAGCCCATTCATGACCACTCCAGCTAAAACAGCCTTCCCACCACTGCCATCCTCTCTCTCTCTCTCTCTCTCTCTCTCTCTCTCTCTCTCTCTCTCTCATATTACTCTGCTTCATTTTCTTCATGACACTTTGATTGTCAAAATATACATCATTTATTAACTTATTTATTTATTTAATGAAAGCTCCAAGAAGGCTGGGATGTGTTCAACCACAATATCCCTAGTGCCGAAACAATGTCTGGTCCAGAGTCACACACAATATATTTATGAACGGTATCATCTCCTTTTCCAAATTAGGACCCTAATGCAGTGAGAGGTTACAAACTAGCCCAGGGCCCCACAGTCAGGATTTGAACTCAGGTCTGTTTACTCCAGAACGATATGCTACACTATCCCCAAAGAATCACTGGAAAAAAATAAGTAGGTCCCTTTTGGAGAACATATAAATTTTCCTGGAGTTCTTGTTTTATTTATTTGTTGTTCACCGCATCCTAACAGTAGGAAAAAAATTATAATGGAATTTAGTGTCAGACTATATAGACATTGATTTTCAGTTTAAGATTTCTGAATTTTATTATGATAAGACATTATAGAATGTAAACAGATTTGGGGAAAATTAATGTATCTGTCTTGTATAGGTTGGAATGAGGAAGACTAAGCCTAAAACCAGAACTTTAATTGCTGAGGCCAGTCATGAGCATATAGCTTTTAGCACTGTATAGGGAGGAGAGAAAATATATGAAGAATTACAGAAAAAAATAATTCTTGTTATGTAAATCTCTCTGCCTGCAAAGTCTTCCATCCATTTATCCTCTATGGGAAGCTTAGCCTTCCAGACTTGTATAAATCTAGACTCTCCTAGGATGCCTTCTTATGGAATTCTTCCAGCAATTCCAGGCCCAAGGCCTTTGCACATGCTCACATAGTGTCACACTAGAGTCTAATACGGTTAATGACATAGGGAAAAAACAAAGGTGTAGGTCTTCTGTGAGTTCCTTGAGAGCAGAGAGTAGGTTTTATCCATCTGTTTATCTCCAGCAACTACCACAGTATCGGGTACTTATGACACTAACATTCGTTGCATGGGCAAAGCAGATACCCTGAGATTCTCAGACCTGGGTGTGGGAGAAAGGTGGCCATTCTGACAGAAATAGGCACTCCGGGACTGTGCTGGAATGATAGCTGGGGGGTTATTGACAAATAGAGATGCCAAGAAGAGGAGCCAGGGAGAATGGCACATACATTTTTAGACACTAAATAAGCTGAAGTGTTAGTCAGGAGTCACGTTGAAATGTTCCACCAGAATCAAGGGGTAGGATACTGAAGTTCTGAAGGCCAAGATTGAAGACGTAGGATGTAAGTGTTATTCACATAAAGATGAAAGTTGAAGATGTGAGTGTAGATGTAATCCCTAAATTCACAGCAGCTGAAACAACAAGAGACCAAAGAACTAAGAGCTAAATCGTGGAATAAACCCACAGAGAGGAACCAAAGAGAGACACAGCTACCCTGTGGAGAACCACAGAAGGAATAATACAACATAACCTTCTCATCTAATTTTATGCAAATTTATTTTACAAAGCTTCTCTTTGCAAGTAATATTGTGTGTACCTCTTTTATTTTCAAAATTCAGCTTCTCTGAAAGCAAATATTGGTAGACATCAAGTTTCTCTTGCCCTCTCTGTCATGTTATTATCAAATCGTGAGTATTTTGGCATATGTGTGTGTTGGTGACTATTAAGTTATAAAGTTTTCCATCTGATCAGATATTACATACTCACCAAAACTTGTGCAGAATGCACTTATTAAAAGGAAATTGTGCAAGCTTCAATAATTTCTCTTGATTATCATTAATCATACATATTGCATTTTTAAGTTGTTCTAACAGATATTCAGTATCAACAGATTGTAATTCTCTAGCAAGGTATAAAATAGGCATTAAAACTATTTCTAAACTATCATATAGGATAATGTATGAAGCATTTCACATAATAGCAGATTAAGTGTCATAAAATACTAGTCAAGTACTAACATAGTCATTAATACTCTTCTTTTAACAAAAGGCAATTTCACAGCCTCATTTACCAACTGGAATATCCCAAGTCTACTTCATAATTATGCTTTTTATTCATCTCTGTAAATTCTACTTAGTGCTATTTGGCAATTTCTTAACATAAATGCCCTGGATGTTGTTAAATTGGATTAATAGCTTTATAAGTAATATATAATATGTATATATTTAACTGTAGGTGATTTGACTTGTAGCCATCTCTTTTTTTAATACTCCGTTATATGTTTAGAATTTATTTTGTTGGAGCTAATTTTAACCTCAATATTTTACAACATCTCTTTATGATGTTAGTTTTATAAATAGAAGGATATGGAAGACTGGGGGTTGTGATCAGCCCTAGCTCTCCTCACATTGTTTTGGCCCGAGGCATGCCTGAGGATGGAATCATTTCAGGTGGATTAGAACCCAGATTAATAATCATAAAAGTATTGCAACAGAATCTCCTTTTTAAAAATATATATTTCCAATTCTTTTCAATGCGGATGGAGTATCAAAGTAAACAACTTCATTAGGCATGTGAAAGTACATTTTAGAGAAAGTACATTTGGCTTAAAATTATAAGCATCTTTCTGCATCAGGTTTTTTTGAATTTAAGGACAATCTTTCAATTAACTGGGCCTGCTGCTACTACTAAAAGTAGTTTGAGTCAATAGCAGTTTGATTGGACATTCAGAATTACAGCTCCAGGAAGTTCTTAAAAGGTCAACTACTCCTTCTCCCCGCACTTAAGCAATTAAAATTGCACTTAAATATGGAGTGAAAAGACAGAAAGAAAGTAGGTTTACTGAAGACAAACAGTAGGCCAAGTACTGCTGGTACCAAGATGAATACGCCAAGGCCCCCATCTCAATAAGTTCACAGACTAACTTGGTTTATGGGCATATAAACAAATAATTGAACTAATGCATGCATAGTTTTTGCATAGTGCCTGGCACATAAGTCCTCAGTAGTGGTCTTTATGTTAGCTGTTAATAAAGTGCTCACCAAATGCAAGAAGTCATCAAGCTAATGCACAAAAATCCAAAGAAAACATACTCACATTTCAGTCTGCAGGATCTCGGATCAAAGTGATTTCATTCATTCATTCACTCCTTCATACCTGAAAGGCATTAATTACAGTATAGTGACTAAGAGTGTGGAAACTAACAACTGTTTGGCTTCCAATCTAAGCTCCACAACATAACTGGTTGCTCCCTCATTAGTTAAACAGGGATGTAGTTACTTCGCAAGAGTGTCTTGAGGGTTGATGAATTTACATGATTTGATACTTGTAAAGTGCCTGACACAGAAAAAGTGCTTAACAATTCAGAGACTATTATTTTCATCACATTTGTATCACACGTTTACAGGGCAAAGTACTAGGTATTTTTGGGAACCAAAAAGAGTACACCCTTCTCCCCAGCCGCACTGTTCTCCCCGCACTCTCCAAGCCAGTCAGATGGTCTTTTTGGCTTCCTTGACGCTGTCACAGTTTGCTCCTATGTCTGTGACTGTCCCTCATACTGCTCCTTCTGCCCAGAAAACTCTCCTTTCTTTTTCTATACAATTCTTATTAACTCCTCGTATTTAGGTCAACTATCCCTTTCTCTGGAAAGTTTTTCCTGATTGCTTAGTTTAAACCTTGTTTCTTTGCTATCTGCTGTCATAAAACTGAGTTCCTTCATGGCACTTATGTTGGTTTGCAATTTGTTGTATGATACTAGAGGACAGGCATCTTTTCTGTTTTTCTCATAATCGTATCCCAGCTCTTAATGTAGTACACAGTGAAGTGCATAGTAATCCTTCAATAAATATTAGAAGAATGAATGTACTCACAGTATTCTGATTTTAACAATATAGAATCTCCTACTTTAAATCTTACGTAATGAAGACCAAAGTCAGCTTAATGAGGCTAAGAAAGCGGCTGCATGGGTCCACTATCTCATTTAACTTTTAAAAACAACCCTATAAAATGAAGATTATCATTTGCATTTTGCTAGTGAAAAAGGTAAGCCTAAGAGTATTTAGGTAGCACAAGAATTCTAGTGAGAAGAGACTGAAATTGAAACATAAGTAGGACATATTCTTTTCTGCTTATTACACTTTTCTAAAAAAGCTCTACTAGAGAGACAAGGCCTCATTTGATAATGCATGTGGGGCTGAAGATAAGACTCCAGGGATTAATAAGTACGATCGACTGTGTATAGTATTTTATCTTCCCTCTCCACTTCTAAGCTGCACAATTTCAGTATTGGGTGCCTCTAGCCTTACATGTTCTCAAAGTAGGTGAGAGTCTCAGAGTTTCTTTTGAATCACAGCTGCATTTACAACAGTCTAGGAAATGGCATCCTTTGCTTATACAGTGTGTTTTGGTTTTGATCCAGTCTCTCATTCTCTAGCTCAAGGCCATAAATATAATGTCTCATTTAGGCCTTTGACTATGTGTCCTGAGCGAACAATCTGTGGATTCTATATTATGGCAAATCATAATCTAGAGGTCTCCGTAGAGAAGGCTCTTACCTTCTAGTGACTTTTTTCATTGGTTGTTACATTTGTTAGAGGTAAATCCTCAGCCCTTAATTTCTTAGTTTATAAAACTGTTTTAAATTATAAACCCTGCATATATTTGTTAAAACAAAAATTCAGAGTAGTACAGAAGAGTATAAAATAAAAAGTTAAATGTTCCATTCCCAAACCATCTCCTATTCCATTACCAGAGGCAACTTATTTTAATGATTTCTGTTTTACTTATTTTATGGTGATTAGTACCATATGTTAATATTTATAATTCTATGTCTTTATCACTTTCAGATAGTATCTACTAACTTCCCACTATGAAAAATAAAGAATTTAAACCAATTATATACCTACCTCTCGCCCCTCTCCTCCTCCCACTTCTTGTTTTTGTCCGTCATGTTTTATAAATTTTTCTAGTAGCAACATTTTGTCATGAAATGTTAACCTCAATCCTCTGCTTAGTCTTTTTCCCTATTCTTAGACAATATCCATTCACTATGCACTGTATGAGATGAGGAAATTAGTACATCTACATATCCATTTCTGCCACCTGTTTTCTACCAACTTCTATTGGCTAAACATTTATTCATATTGTTGAAGTCTATAATATTTACATTCTATTCTATATTTATTTTTGCTTTCCACATTTTGTCTATAGATGGATTCAAAAATTTGAAAACAATATATAACATTTATATAATTATTGTTATTAAGTAGATTATTTTTATTGTGAAATTAAATAAAGTAATTAGAGGGTTTCCAGAGTTCTGTAGGATAATGGCTGCCACCTAAGTTTGAATCACCAGCATCTTCCAAAAACCATTTGGGATGAAAAGAGCACATAGTATCATCTGTATCCCATGCCAACAGCAGAACAAATAGAAAAGACTAAAACTTCAATTTACATGTAAGTGGGAAAACCTGACTCTAGCACAGGCAGTCTCTGAGAATCCTCCAAGGTAGAAAATGTTGGGAGACAATTCTACATTAGGTCTCGAGATTCTACGTGTTCTGTGAGCAACTCATTGATTGCACTTCATTTCAGACTATCTTTGTAAGGTTGTTTTTATAGTAAACAGCCATAGAAGATAGAGATAGTGTTTCTTTCTGGAAAAAAAAAAAAAGTCAGGCTTGCCTTGAAAGATAAATACAGTATCACCATCTGGAACACAGGATGGCATGCTTACTGCCCAGTATAGGGATGTACAAAGCTTCGAGTTCCCCTCCTATAACACGTCCAAATTTATGTGCAGATATCCTATGGCCCTCTTTTCATTGCTCTATGGAAACTGAGGTTTAGAGAACTAGCAAAAATAATACTGATACTCTAATTATTGCTATTGCTGTGAGTAATAAACAGTTCTTCAGCTCTGATCCAGGAGTCTTGTGTCTTCTACCAGCATCCAGAAAACTGTCAGATTAGCTTACAAGTAGGGTAAAATCTCAAACTCTTCATTCTTGACAGTCAGGTGGGGACTATGAAGAAGAGAAGAAAAGAGTGCTAGGGGTCCCAATGGTGGCAAAATAGAGATAACATCAACAAGATTCCACTACAGAAAGAGATAGTCCTATCCTGAGTGGGAAATACTGAGAGATCTGAGACCTGGATGACCCAAGCAAATGTTCCTAGAAAGTCAAAAGAAAGGCCCTTGAAAAGTATGCACACTAGATGTGGCAGTTTGGGGGAAGGCAACTCTCTGGGAAGGGATTTATGTAGCAATTAGAGTGTCCCCTAGAGGTAAATGAAAGAAGGAAATAGATGCAGATGAAGGTCCCTTTGAAGCAAAACAGCCTAAAGAATCAGGAGACACACCAGAAATAAAAAATAATTAAGGTAAAAAGTAAGAAGAGTATTCCTTAAAAAATAGAAGCCCTTCACACTCCACTAGAGCAACAAAAGAGGGAACAATTAAAACTGAGAAACCTAGTAAGCCTCCATATGCCTCCCTCGTCCAATACCCTCTTTTTTGGTGTGTATGGAACATGGATATCTTTAGACCACAAAGAAAGCTTTATTTCATTAAAGAAAGCTTAAATTATATTAAGTAGAAATAAAATAAATAGAATTTTCTGGTCACAATGAAATAAAATCCAAATTAATAACAAAATCATAAAAACAGAAGCAAAACACCCTTCCACTTAGAAAACTCTATTAACTCTTGGAGGGGAAAGAGAAAATGTAAACGTATATCACAGAATCTCTAAAATAATGTTAATATAAACTACACAAATATCCAATCTGTGGGATAAAATTAGAGCAATGCTCATAGGAAAATTCTTTGCTTTCAATATTTATGTTGATAGAAGTGAAATACAAAAAAATAAAACGAACTTCTCGCTCAAAGGTGGAAAAAGAAAAATTAATTGAAAAAAAGAAGAAAAGTAAAAATTAATGAGTCAGAATTAGAAAAATAAGACAATAAATAAAATTGGTTATTTGAAAATTTTAATAAGATACATCAACCAGTAGCTAATCTAAACAGGAAAAAAATGAGAAAGTACATAAACTTAAGAAATGACAAGGAGAAATAACCATTTAAACAGGGGGATATTTTTAAATTTTAAGAGATCATTTTGCACAACTTTATGCAAATAAATTTTAAAACAAAGGAAACTAATGTTAAAAAAGAGAGCGAGTGAGAGAGGTCAATTTGAAAGAAGCAACAAAGGTTTTAAAAAGCTATTCTATAAAAACACACCTGCCCCAGATGGTTTCTCAGGGGAAATCCATCAGACTTCAAAGATAAGATAATCCCAATCCCACATAAACTGTTCCAGAGCATAGAAACAAGAAAAACATAATCTGTACTTTTTTTAAATGAAAAGAGTATAATATTTATACCTAATCTGATAGAAACTACACAAGAAAAAAGCAACTAAAATCAAACTTCATTTATAAACACTATATTACTTTGCTAAGGCTGCCACAACAAAATACCACAGATCAGGTGACTTAAACAACAAAAATTTATTTTCTCACAGCCCTTAAGGCTGGAAGTCCAAGATCAAGGAGTTGACAAGTTTGGTTTCTCCTGAGCCCTCTCTCCTTTGCTTGCAGATGGCCAATTTTTCACTATGTCCTCACATGACCTTTGCTCTCTGGGCACACAGACAGCCCAGGTGACTCTTCCTCTTCTTATTAGGACACTGAATCAGATCGGATTAGGACCCTTAAGACCTCATTTAATCTTAATTAGCTCTTTAAATCCCTATCTCCAACTACAGTCACATCGAGAGTTAGGGCTTCAACCATGAATTTGAGGGGAAACACAATTCAGTCTTTAACAAACCTTTCTCAATACTCCTAGATAAAATGTTAGGAAACAATTTGGTAATGCAAAAAAATATAATTATATTTCATTCATTACTAAATAGAGTATATCACAGGAATGCAAGAATAAAATTACCAGTCAAAAATGTCAGAGGTATTTTCCTTTTGACTTAGGCAGTCTCACCTCTAGGAATCTACACTGAAGATATTTCCCAACATGTATAAAGCCACATTTGTACACCATTATTGATTATTGTAGTATTGTGTAATAACATAAGACTGCAAACAACCCAAATGTTCATCAGCAGGAGACTGATTAAACTATGGTACAT